GAGGCAAAACCTCGCCGGGAGGGGAGGGGAGGGGAGGGGGGGCAATGCTCCCTCTAAGCTGTGGAGTCTTGTGAACAAAAATCCTACTTTGTGAGCTGCTGGCATTAAAGTTGAGAGTGAGCGATTTGGCTGCTGCATCAATTAGTTTGCTCTGGAGTCATCCGGAGCTTAACAAACTGTTGAGCTAGCTCAGACTTACTCAGCTTAGAGGGAACACTGGAGAGGCGCTGCGCTCGTTGGCTCCCCGGGGCGTGCAAAGGGCTTGGGCTGAAGGGGACTGTCTGGTGCCTCCCATCATTTCCTCGCCCCCACCCTGGCCGCCCACTCACCAGAGCTCCCCCCGACCAGCAGGAGAGCAACTCCCCCTAACAGCAGCTGCAGACTGTGCTGGGCTGCGCTCATTGCCGGAGCCTCTCCGCGCCGTCGGTGCACCCTGGCCCCCGGGATGAGGCGTGCTGGAAAGCGGAACCTGCGGGGCATGGGGAGGAGTTTGCATAGAGCTCTGGCCTCGGCTCCTCCTGCCAGCCTGTGGGTGCCGGTGGGTGGCTGGGCGGGGAAGGGAGCCTCACGCCTCAGCCTGCTGGGCTCTTCCAAGCGAGTCCCGGCCCGCTCCCCGCCCGGCACCATCTTCGGACTCCGGCCACTCCACTGCGCTGAGGGAAGGAGGGAGGGGAGTGGAGGGAGGAGGGAGAAGCGCCCCCCGGGGGAGGCTGAGCCCCTTCCTGAAAAGTTCGGGAGGGTCTGACGCTCCTCAGCCCCCCTGCAGTTTACGCGCCTGCACGCTGATCAAAGAAATCACCTCAGAAAAGCTATCCTAGAAAACTCTGGATGCCCATCCTCTCTTCATGGTGGCGAAGAAAGAACTGGGGGAAGAGCGCTCTCCCTGCCTCCATCACGTGAGCCTTTGGGCAGGAAAAGCAGGGCTCAAGATGGAGGGGAGAGGGAGCCCTCCTGGGCTCTGGAAAATTCTAAATCCTTTGGAAGCTCATTCTTCCATGTAGGACTGCAGAAACCACAATGACAAACAATATAATTTCAACATGGCAGCCTTAGTTTTCCTTTGAGTGCAACTATGATTTACCTGCATGCCAATAATGGCATAGATGAAGAACAGCATTGCTATAAGGAGACACACATATGGCAAGGCCTGCAAGAGAGAAAAGGGGAAATAGAAACAATAATCAATAATGCATGTGAGAGCAATCCTTCTTTGCAGATGGCTAAAAGTAGACAAGGATCTACCCACAACTTTGGTGCTACAGGGAAGACTCCCCCTCCCTTCATGCATTCCATAAAACATACAAAGCAAACATATTAGGAGAGAAGGTGGATGGGTGCAAAGCAATCACTCTGCAGTTGGGAGTGGCTGGTGTGGCCCATCCTACCACTGGTCACATGATAATGTGACCATGGGGGTGAAGGCAAACATAGAAATGTATGAATATATATGACAGATATATCTGCCCAATATATAGGACGGATGGACTCACATTCAATGCTCCCTCTAAGATGTGGAGTTTTGTGAACAAAAATTTTACTTTGTGAGCTACTGGCATTAAAGTTGTGAGTGAGCAATTTTTCTACTGTATAAATTAGTTTGCTCTGGAGCTATCCATCCTAAGACAAAAATGTGTAAGCCAGAGGCTAAAAAACTGAGCTAGCTCACACTAACTCATCTTAGAGGGAACATTGCTCACATTCTAGTAGTATCTGAAGAAGAGAGCAGTGACCCACAAAAGCTCATACCCTACCATAAATTTTGTTAGTCTTTAAGGTGCTACTGGATCCTTACTCTTTTCTACTGCTATAGAAATTTATGAGTACTGTGTTAAAATGAAAAATCTCCTATGACCACCTTAGAACACTATGTCTATGTTAGATGCCAGAGATCTCCAACTGGGAGCGTAGTACCTATAGAATCTCCCATGACAGCTTGCTGAAAGAAGAAGCTGTTGACCATTCTAGTGATAAAATACTGCCGTTTCACTACTGAGGGACAAACCAGATCCTTGCAATGGAAGTGCTACCTTGAGGAAAGGAATCTGCATTCTGCACTAAATTATTAGTATGATTAATCCTCCTCCTCCAAGAGACCAGGGTGGCACTCACAGTCCTGCTCTCATTTTGTCCTCACAATAATCCTGTGAGGTAGTGATTGACAGTGACTAACCCAAGATCATCACTTCGTGTGTTCCATGGTCAAATGGGAGATTTAAATGAGGGTCTAATTTTATGCTCTCCTGATCATTTTGTCCCCTCCCCCTCCTCTGCCCACGAGGTGGCTGGGCAGTCTGGAATTGGGGGGGGGGGATTTTTAGTTCACCCTCTGGAGTTTTAATTTATCTACTGGTATGAACCTTTACCTTTACTTTTTATTAAAGTATTTTATTTTTATAGTGCTGTTTTTATTCATTGTTGTATATCGCCCAGAGCCTTGTGGTAGCAGGGATGGGCAATTCAGAAACAGTAGTAGTAGTAGTAGTAGTAGTAGTAGTAGTAGTAGTAGTAGTAGTAGTAGTAGTAGTAGTAATGTCTTACTGGCTTTTCCAAAATGCTTGGCATACCCTCCTTTCAGACCAACACATACTTCTATTACTCACCTAGCACAGAAATACTTCACACCTTCACTTTATACTGTGGTTAGTGTTCCATCTGTTTCAATTCCCTAAGACTTCCTCCAGTGTGAATGCTTGGGTTCCCCCCCCTTTCTCATATGTTCTACTGTTCTATCCCCTTCTCTTTTCCCATTAACCATAGTCTGTTCCCTCTACACCTTTCTCATGAGAAAGGAATGAATCCTCATTCACAAGATCTCCTTCTACCATCTTTCAGATTTTAAGGAGGCTCATACCACCTTAAACACATGCAACGAAAGGGAAGCAGTCTTCTCATGCTTCAGCAAGAAGCCCCTGTAGGGGTAGCTATATTACTCTGTCACCACAGAAACAAATATGAGTCTGGTGGTACTTCAAAATCTAACAAATTTTTATTCCAGAATAAATTTTTGTGGATTAGATCACAAGTGGTTTTTCACTATGCTGATATTTTATGTAAGGGGTTTGACAAAAATAAGAAAAGAGCAAGCCCAAAGGGCCATGAAATGCAGGAAGTACAGGGTGAAATGTTCTTATGTAAAATGCATATCAAGAAAAATATTAAAAACCATTAAATAGTTATGGTAGTTTAGTTAAAGCGTATAATGGACAGAGAGTTCCATGTTTGGCTAAGAGTTAACACCTACAGCGAGTAAGAAGTTCCAAGTCCAAATGGGGGAGGGTAGGAAAAAAAGAAACCTTTTAATGAATTCCGTT